TTTTTTAAATTTTTAAAAAGCCACAGTATTTTTCATTGTTTTAGGTCTTTCGCATACCTATAAAAGCTAACAAACTGAGTTGTTAATCAAACAAAATTCAAATTGTACAACTTTGGTTAACCATGTTCTACTTTTTCTTAGTTTTTACCTTGGCTGCAGGTAATCACTGTACAAATTATTCATGTGTGACCAATTTGGCTGTACTTTGTGACAATTAAGCTAGAAATATTTTTAATAGCACAAGTAATTTACCAAAGCCAGATAAGAGATAAAAAAAGTTTTTATTTTGTTGTTGATTATTTCTAGCAAACCTAACTGATATTCTTTCAGCGCATACGATCTTGAACAACAGAGTCGGTAAGCTGTTCATCTAAATTTAACGTTTCTTTCGTTAATTAGAATAGAGGCTGCTTAACAACTAATAAACTAATTAATTTTCAGTAGAGTTTTTAACAATCTTAATTTTCAAACACAGAATGAAATTAATACTGTTGAAATATATCTAGTAAATTTTTGTATCAAAAGATACATTACAGCGGTCGTTCGAACGGGCAAGACCTGTGCAGAGAATACCCCAGTGCTTGTGAAACAAGACCCACTGGTGATTCCGCAACGACCAGTGGTTGTCGAGCCGTCCCGTGTTGTAGTTAAACCACCAGATGTTTACCTCCGCAAGCCAGTTGTGGAGCTACCAAGCGATCACATCATTAAGCAGGAAGCTATTCATATACCGTCTCAAAAAATCAAAGTTGAAGAACCAAAAGTTGTTCTTTCTAAGCCGATTGTCTCACTTCCAGCTCCCGTAGAAGTAGCATCAGATCCAATTAGAATTCCACCATTCCGTCTCACAGTCAAGGAACCGTCAGTCCGTCTCACAGAACCAATTCTAAACTATCCATCTTCACGAGTTATTATGCCGAAACCAATTACAGTTGAGCCACAAAGAATTGTTGTTGGTGAACACAAAGTTGTTATTCCAGAGCCAATTGTTACAATGCCTAAAAAACGAGTCATTGTGCCACCTGCAATTCGTGAGCTATTTTATTTTTTTTTTATTAAAAGCGTTAATCAGAAAATCCTCAATAAATCCGTTTCTTGGGCAGCTTGATATTATTATACCTAATTACTTTTTTAAATTTCACCTGAAAAAGAATTATTTCTGGAAGTGGTTGTAATTCGACTATTAATTATAGTCAGTGCCAAGTTTCCTCACTAAGAAGTGATTTCTTCGTTAATCGCTGTAGTATTTCAGGTATTCCACGACAACGAATTGAAGTTTTAAGTCCAGAACTTGTAGAACAAAAGCCACATTTCCTAGAACGAAAGCCACATTTCCTAGAACAAAAGCCACATTTCCGCTACAACTACCCAAAACCATGCTACAATGGCTGCGGTAAAGACGAAAACCTCTTGAACACTGTGATTTATTAGGATAACTTGCCTCCGTATAATTATTGTGATTTGACGACCATTTAAAAGCATTAACAAATTATCAACCGGTTAACACAGTTGAAAGTAAATTATTACTAAGAGAAGTTTGTCTCAACAAAATTTGGATGCAAAAAAGACAGCTATATGATTTTGAATACAATGTAAAGTCTCAGTTGTTAAACGAGTTTTTACATTCAGTCAAACTTAAAAAACCTTTCAAATATAATGTCAAACTAACTTTGAAAGTTTAATAATGTGTTAATAAAGCTATTTGCTACATTTCAAGTCACTGTTCTCAATTTTTGTACTTCTTTATGAAATATTTGTTAATCACAGTCTTTGTAATTTATTTTTAGTTGTAATTTAAGTTTTAAAATTTTTGAAAGCAAAAAACAAGCTAAACTTATCAAAATAGGATTTTAGTTTTAAAACGCAGTTAAAAAGCGGTACTTCAAATGCAACAAAAAAAGTTTTCAGTTTTACTAAAATTATAAATTAAACTATATTGTCAAAAACATATTATGATTTCCACGCTTAGTTCGGCGTTTTTTATAGTATTTGTAATTTCCTGCTTAAATAGAACAGTCCAGCCACTTGCAACACTTTGAATCGACCTTTTTGTGTTTCTGTTGACGAATATCTCATTAACCTTAACAGAAACTAATAAATACTATATCTATACAGCGGAAATTCTGTATAACAAAATGTCTGCTTTCTATACGTTTGAGCGTTTTGAGAGTATCGATGTTGCTTTTGAAACATTTTATTCTTGCTTCTTCCTTTTAACTACACTTATTACTCATACGCCAAATTAAATAAGTTTTCTTTTTTTCTTTAAAAATTTATCAGTATATCCTACCAGTATTTTGCCGCGAAAAAATTTTTTTTCTTATAAAATTTGCTTTAACTTAATGTTTTTGTTAATAACAGTTAAATAATTGTTTTTATGCTAAACAATTTTGTTAAAATCTTTAAGCTTAAAAAAATAACAGAAAAAA